CTTTTATCATACCTGTTAACTGCAATCTCCTACCACTATGCCTTTATTTGAGATTTTGGCTGCTTGTTACTCTTCTGTATTACCATAATAATTGTCAATGTGTTATGTCTCAGGAATGTGAGGAGTTGATGTCAAAGGGTATAACAGGGACAGGACAGGGATTTGATGCTCCTGGGAAGCGTTTGGGTGGGTTTTCTCTTCAGCCTCCCCTCTCTTCTCTTCGGTCAACAGCAGCTAAAGCAGCAGAGAATAGAGTGCGTTCGGGCAATCTCTTACCCTCTGGACCTCAACGTCTTGGTGGTGATAGCAGCATTATGTCACATCTTTCCCCTATCCAGGCTGCTGCTATGGCTGCTGAAAGGCGTTTGCTTGATGACATCTGGTGTGGTTCCCAGTCCACTGATGAGGCTTTACAAGACCAAGATAATGATAGTACCGAACCCGTAAGGGAAACTTTTACGAGGTTTAATGCAAGGTCAGCAAAAAGAAGCAGTAGCTGCTCAAATACCACCAATTCAAGCCCTCCATCTTCAAGCCATCAGTGGGGATCAGATGTCATTGATTTAACAGAGGAACCTTCTGAAAGTAGATTTATTAAAAGAAGTTGCAACCCAGGCAACCAAGGACAAGAAGGTTACAATGCAAACCAAGTCAGAGAAGAACCTGCAATGTGGGAGTGTGAAGAATGCACCTTATTGAACTCGGTAAGTCTTGTAAATATTACTTCCTGCTTTCTATCTATTCCGACGTTATTCATTGTCTGTCTTGTTTTCCTGGAGTAGTTGTTGGCTCCGATATGCGAGCTATGCACCGCAACAAAGCCTAAGGAAAGGGAGATGAAGCACAACGTCTGGTCTTGCAAGTTCTGCACGCTTGAAAACGAGGTGAAGCTGGAGAAATGCGAGGCTTGTGGGCAGTGGAGATACTCCTATGGAAAACCTTTGTCGACTCGTGCTCCTAATGTTGGCACTTGAGGGACTAGAAGTCCAGTCTTAGCCTTTTTTCCATCTAGCCAACGAGCAGTGATAACAAGATTCTCCAAGTTCTGTAAAACGAGTCACAACTTGGGCATGTGGCTGCGTTATGTTATGTTGGGTTTACACCTTTTGACTCTATTTTGGTACAAAGAATATTTTGATCAGGGCACACCAGCATATGATAGAGATATGCTCACTCCAGCTCTGAGAAAACAAAGCAGCAGTTAACATTGGTAATACTTATACTTCTCAAAAATCCATGTTTTCTGTAATTTTATTATTTGCTTCTTCCACGTTTCATAACGTCCATTTACAAGTTTCTTTAAAATATGCACATTACCTAGTGATGAGTCATAAATTATCTGTTAGGAGAATTTGATAGCTAAAACCAAAGTTTAAAATGGTATACTGTGCTCATACTGTTCCACAAAAACAAACTTATTCTTACTACCGTGGTATTCGGTTTATCCTAGAGTATATTCGACATTTCGTTAATATTCTATGAGAACAAAACTATACAGTTAAGGAATTTTTTGTGTTTCAACTTGTCAATAGGATGATATTTTTTTATTAAAAAGTTAAAAGTCAACAAATAGTATACTATTTATTAAAAAACGATCCAAAGTTAAAGCAAATAAATAAGATACTAATTAAAAGAGTGAGCACTATGATTTTTTTTCTTTTTTTTTGTCCGCCGCCCATTTTAATTAGATCAAGTGGTGAACAGACGAGACGAGTCGATTCTCCGGGGAACACCCCCGTCTGGCCTGGTCTATATGGGAAAAAGCAAAACCTCTCCTCCAAAAAATATTTAACGGGAATGGATAGTCTAGTTCTCCGAGTGAGCACTATGATTAGATTCAGGTAACCTTGAATGAATGGATAGTCTAGTTTTCAAGTCAAAGGACGATGGCTTCACGTAATTTGGGACAAACAGACTCATATGTCACTACAAACGTCACTTTCTTCTTGTTTTCCTTTTCTACCATTTCAAAAAAATATTTAACGGGATAACCGCGTAAAAAATTCTTCAAAGTGATAAATATTTAAAATTTTGAATTTTTTACACTAAAAATTTAAATCTTTAAAGTGACATTTGTAGAATAAAAAATTGTGTTAGATTTTTTTATCTAAAAGTGATTATCTTTGAACCATCATTGTCAATAGTGATATGTTTAGAATTTTATTGTCAACGATGATATACCAGTTTGTTTTTAAAAGCAATCTTGTAATTTTTATGTGATATTTTTAATAATAAATTGTTATATCATCATTGATGATGATGATGATTTCAAATATCATCGTCAATGATTTATTTTAAAACGATAACATATCACTACTAACTATGATGGTTTCAAATATTTAAAAACAAAATAATTTTGGAATTTTAATAAGAAAAATAATCTTGGAATTTCTTGATATTGTTGTCACTAGTTAGCAAATTCTTAACATACTACAAAACTGTTCTAAATGCTGGGACAACCGATACATTATCTATCTTGATCTTTTCTTTGAACTAGTCATCTAAGTAAATTATTTTTTTCGACAAAAAAGTAAAATATATTATCCAAATAGACTAGTCATCTAAGTAAATATATACTATAAGTTATCCAAATAGAAAACAATGTAGTAGGTGGCACAAGAAACATGTGATGACTGATGAACCTTGGATGTGTAGTTAATCAAACTAGAATATTACAAGGAATCAAATCAAGGTACCATAATAACTACAACTATATGTTTTGTTTGCACATGTGCATAACTTTTTTACGAGTAACTATTAATTATGTTTTACTAATTCAAAAAATCAGTATAATAATAATTATTTATGTTTTAACAAAAATAAATTAAATCAAATATCAAAATAGTTATATATAATAATTTTTGCATCAAAATTAAATATATATATTTATTGTTGTGCTATACTTTTAAAAGCACTCACATATTAAAATATTGTAGAAATTATCTTTATACAAATATTTTTTATTGATCAATAGTTAATTATAAATTGTTTTATATTTTAATCTTCTAGAATAAAAAAGTATTATTTCTAGATAACAACAATATATATATATATCATTATAATATTTTTTTAATTTTTTGACAATTTTATCATATTAATTTATAATCAATATCTAATATAAAATATAATCTAGTATTATTAAAATTAAACTCGTATTAATTTAATATAAAATAGTATCTAAATAACAAAAATATATATATAAGAATTATCCTTTTTTAAATATGTTTTTATTTTGAAATTTTTATCATAATTGATAATCCATTAGCTAATATAAGTTATAATCTAGTAATATTAATACTATTTTAATTATATAATAAGGATAATTACCTAAACCATGAAAAATTTGACAAATTAGTAAATTCACTCATGAAAAATAGTATAGATAATTAGATAGGAATTTTCTCCACACATACTGACATAATTTTCTTACAAATAATTATTAATTTAGGTCTTATTAATTCTAAAAATCAGTATAATACATTATTCTTTATATTTTTAAAAAAAAATATAAATCAAATCTATATAATAAAAAATTCATCATAATATTAAATATACATGTTTATTATTGTGATATAATTTTAAAATCACTCACATATTAAAAATATGGTAAAAAATATCTCTATAAATATTTTTGATTGATGAATATTTAAATATAGATTGTTTTATATAATAACAAAATATATAAATAAGAATTATCTTTTTAAAAATATTTTTTTTTGTTTTGATAGTTTTATCAGATTAATTTATAATCTATTAGCTAATATAAGGTACAATCTAATATTATCAATATTAAATTTGTTTTAATTATATAATAAGTAAAATTATCTAAAGTTATGAAGAATTTGACAAATTAGCAAATTCATTTCTCAATCTCAAATAATAGTATAGGATACGCTCTTACATGTGTTGGTTGTCATGTTATTTAACCTAACAACTTTTTTCCCCTAGAAATGAACAATATATATAGCAATATAGCACGCAACAATTTTAAAATGAGATAATTGGCTAAAGTGCCCTATTTGGCACCTATAATTAGAGAATTGCTCATGATGTGACAATCACTTTCATTTGGACCATTTTGCCCTTCTCTACACTCTCTCTTCTCTCTTTGATATTTCCCCTCTTTTTTTTCTCTCTTCTATCCCTAATTATTTTACAAATCTCTATCATTCTATATACAATTAAATTTTAAATTTCATTATTTTTTTCATAAGTGGCTTTGAATCCTCAATTTTTTGATGATATCAATTTTCTGGGTTTTAGATTCGACGTCGTGTTAGCGGTTAACAAATATTGTAGACGTTAACAGAAGTGTTAGTTGTTAACAATTATTTTTACGCTTCGCGTTAGTAAATGTGTTCGCTGTTAACAAATATTGTAGACGTTAACAGAAGTGGTAACTGTTAACAATTATTTTTATGCTTCGCGGTAATAAATGTGTTGGCTGTTAACAAATATTGTAGACATTAACAGAATTGTTATATGTTAACAAATGTTTTTACGCTTCGTGTTAATGAGAAGAAAGAAAAAAGGCATTCTCGACATTTCCTTACCAAATGGTTATGTCAGTGTCCTTCATATCCAATCAATGGTATTTTGCTAATTTGAGCTTCAAATATGGATAGTTCACTAAATCACTCTTTTAAAATCCAAACAAAAACATACTTCATCAAGCATAAAATAGCATAAAAAAATCTTCAAACCAACTTTTTTAATGCAATAAAGTGCTATTGTTACTTACCATCATCATGTTCTCGGTCAGTGTCAGCATTCCCTCCTATATAAACTCCGCTCATGTTCTTCTCCACACAACAACCATTCCCTCCTCTCTTCTTCCAATCCCAAAGATTCTATGGCTCCCTGCGTCGACACATTTAGAACATGTAAACCCCATGAGGATGACACTCGGTTCTGTCACATGAATCACTTCCGACCCAGTTATTGCCTTTCACGATCACCCATCACGAAAACCTCCCACTCAAACTCTCTGGAAGGTGGTAATGATCTCTGGGTTAAGATGGTTGAAGAAGCTAAATCCGACGTTGAGCAAGAACCCATTCTCTCAAGCTACTATCACATCCCATCGATCCTTAAACTCCGCTTTAGCCAACATTCTCTCCGTAAAGCTCAACACTTTAACCTTAACAAGAAACACCCTCTTCGAATTATTCATCAGCGTCTTAGAAGAAAGCCCAGAGATCATCGAATCAGTTAAGCAAGACCTAAAAGCAGCCAAGGAAAGAGACCCTGCTTGCTTAAGCCACGTCCATGCCTTCCTAACCTTCAAAGGCTTCCTCGCTTGCCAAGCTCACCGAATCGCTCACAACCTCTGGACGCAAGACAGAAAGATCCAACACAGAGTATCCGAAGCTTTCGCCGTCGATATCCATCCCGGAGCGATGATCGGGAAAGGGATTCTGTTGGATCACGCGACGGGAGTGGTGATCGGAGAGACGGCGGTGGTTGGAGACGACGTTTCGATTCTCCACGGCGTGACGCTCGGAGGAACCGGGAAACAGTGCGGCGATCGGCATCCGAAGATCGGCGATGGAGTTTTGCTCGGCGCCGGGAGTTGTGTGCTGGGGAATGTTACGATCGGGGAAGGAGCTAAGATTGGATCGGGGTCGGTGGTGGTTAAGGACGTGCCGCCGCGTACGACGGCAGTTGGAAATCCGGCGAGGCTGATAGGTGGGAAAGAGAATCCGGAATTGGTTGAGAAGGTTCCCGGTTTGACTATGGACCAGACTTCTTATTTAACCGACTGGTCTGATTATGTCATCTAATTATTTCCAATTAATGTGATTTTAAAAGTCTTAAACCAACATTTTGTAGATAGCTAAACTTTTGGTGTTAAATATATGATCCAAGAGTATACATTGTCAAATTCCTATCATTTGTTTTTACAAAAGAATCAATACACAATTAAGATGGAATTTTGCAGCCAATACAAAGAATATGAAATGGAATTTAAATTTTTTTAAAAACTACATATTTTCATTTGGCATATCTATACCTTCCATATATATATATATGTAACCCCTCTATTCTAACTTAAAGTTAGCAGACGCTACCAAACTTCTATTTCTTGTTTATCCACCTATTTGAAACCTCCATAGATGCTGTTGAAAATTGCAGCAATCATGTCTTCTTTGGTCACACTAAGTCAGTAAGTCTGGGTGGCGGCTTCCGCAGCCCTTTTTCGCATCATCTCCGTTACAGCAGCTCTACGCCGTTTTTCTGACTGCTGCTGCCGTCTACTAGCAGCTGCTTTGAAATCTCTGTTGGATTACCCCCAAGAGTCAGCTATAATATAATAATCAAGGGGTTTTTTAAAGTGTTAAAACTCTTTATGTACCTGCATTTGGGGACAATGCATTTGGAATCTCTACAGGAGCGGGCATGGGTTCTGATGAGTAACCAAAATTGCGTACACTTGGGGCAATCTCCACGAGCCATCTTACAATCTATTACATGTCTGATTAACGTCTTCATCCAGCGACACCGCTGATACTGGCAATGTAAATACCGGCATGGAGCTGCTACATGTACAAGCAGTTCTATCATCTGCGGTATCAACAACACACCAAAGCTTTAGTTATTCGCTTCTAGCAGAGCTACACATATAGGTAAAATGGCCTCAGCAGACGATAATACCTTGTCAAACTGGATTTGATTAGCTCGCCCGGTGTCTTGTACACTAGCTTTCCCAGCAGATGAACGGCTTACCAGTTTATGTGAATGGTCGATACACGCCTTAGGGTAACAGGCATTGCAGACATCATAGGCCGTGCAAACTTGGCAGTGCCAGCCTTGAGCGTTTTCAATCTCTTGTTGGCAGATGGTGCATGCCGTTGGAAATGCAGGGACACTTGGGTTGTGAAGATGATAGAGTATCATCATGGAAGAATGTTTCGCCCGCCTTAGTGTGTCGTACTGATAGTTGTTGCCTTGGCAAAGACTCAGGAAAGCTTGCCTGTTATCAAAGAACTCGCTCTGAATGTTGACGTCTTTGTCCTCAATCTCAATGGGAACGTCTTTAATTGCCACCTGCAGAGATCCACCACACCTTGTCATTTTTACAAGATACAAAATAAAGGAAGAAAGATATGCTGCTCTAACCACCAAAAGACACTTACAGGAAACATTTTGTGCTTCACTTTCCGATTGATTGGATGTCTCTCTTTCTCTGCGCGCTTCTGTTCCACTTCGTAACACCTGCGGTCAAAAGTGAGTTTTGGTATTCTTATAAACTTAATAATTGAAGTAGCAAATATGATCATGTAGCAGAGATCTTACTTGTCACAGATCTGAAAATTCTTGCAGTGCTTGCACACCCACCGATTTCCTGATACCATGAGAGAGCAACAGTGCTTACAGCAATGTTGCAAATGAACCATGATAAAATCTTCCTTTATCGGGAAGATACTCTCACCGAGCTACCACAAAAACAAAACCGAAGGAGATAAATAAAAGACAAAAATGCATGAGCACACACAAGAAAATAACTAGAATTACTTTTTGCATCAACAGCCGATCCTTTGAGGCATTGACAGGAAGGTCCGACTGGCCAACTGCTCTTAGGGCTCTTTTCGTTATGACCTTTTTGGTGTATCCTTTTCCATTTAACTTAGTGGTCCCATCACCTTCTTGACGCATTTTCTGTATTAAATCTTCAGCAGCACCTGGCAAGTAGTCCCCATCAAAATATGGCAACCTTGCAGCAGTTACATCAGCTCTACATTCGTCAATCTGGTCAAAGAATTGTTCATAGAGGTTTGTGCATTCAACCACCACATCCTCCTCTGAAGCTTTCCTAAGCATTGCTAAATACCTGTCAAAAGAGAGACGAAGGACACGTTAACAAATTGCACAGTTCCACTTGACAAACAAGACAGGTTGCTCGATTCCATACCATTCCCTTAGTTTGTCAGTCTTGGGCGTCTTCTGGATTTCAGGATGACAGTTTAGAATATAATCTTCACCCTTAAGCGGTGGGCATGCCCATATGTAGCAGCTTGTGAAACCACGTTTCTTACAGTAATCGAGGTAACCAATCTGCAGATTGGAACAAGTCCATGCATGCTGATAAGTACCATCTACTTAGAGAAGCAAAAGATGAAACATAAAGAAGCTGGTATTAGAGGGGAAGTGGGTTACCAGAATTTCATGGTACACAAACGTGCGGAGGGCTTCTCCAGAGACTGTTCGAACCTCAGGTCTGAAATACTTAACCGAGTCCAGATATGAAAGGTATACCCGCCGCTGATTGGCAGGTCCACATTCTGTTCCAAATTCCTGGACGAACATGCCAAATAAGCACACCTCGACACCTTCAATCTTCTGAAACAACAATATGACCTGATATAAAAAGAAAATATATATCTAAGTGCCAATAATGCAAAAGTCAATAAATGAACAAAAGAAACAAGCATGAACCATATCTACCTTGGACTTATAAGGGTATTCAGATGGATAGTTCTCTCCTCGGAAAAGCTCGAGGAAATTCTCCTTTACTTCTAATACTTTTTCAACTGATGCCACAACTCTGACAGTAAGTGATTCGGCTCCAGGAACCTGATATATATCAATAATGAAGGAAGATGGTTATCATCACTGTTCCTATACAATCTCTTCTTCTCAGAAGCTCGAACAAAAAATGTAAAACCGTTGACAGCCATTGTCAGAGGAAAACAGACATCAAAAGAGTTAAAAAAAGAGTTTTACCTCCTCATAACTTTTTCCTTGAAGTCTAGCCCTCGCTTGTCTTTCCATGTTCAAGTTTTTGAATAACCGCTGCTCTATATGATCGCTAAGAGTAGTATCTGGTAAACTTTTTGCCCCAGGGATGGCACTCTGTGGTAACGGTCTTCTATCTCCTTGTTCCACCTCTTGGATATAGCAATTAGGGCAAGTGTACTTGGTGGCTTCCCCATGGTTCCTTCGGCTGTTGAACAAGGCACAAATTTGATGCTGCCACGCTTGGCACTTATCACATTGCACCCACTGCATGAAACCATTGATTCAGTCATACAGCATAAAAGAAGTAAATCTTGGAAAATTTTATGAAGTCATGAGGCATACATACCCCTTCTATAACTTGTTCATCGTTTTTATTCTTCTCAAGCATTGCTTTCGGTATAGAGGTTCCATCAACAGAAACAAAGTTTTCACGCGCTTCGGTGAAGCAAGTTGCGCAGACATAATGCCGTGACTCACCAGCAGCAACGGTATAGTGCAAGGCGTTTCTCTTGATGCGTACAGCACAAGGGGAGCAGTAAATAGGTATTGGCTCAAATACAAGCCTCTCAATAGCACATAACTGGCAAGCTTCCGCAGATATGGAGCAACCCATTGCTTTGTTTTTGTCCGCCTTGGTTTTGCTCTGAAAACATAATTACAAAGAGAGAGAAACTAGCGTCAGCAGACAATTTAAAACCTCAATAATCAAGAAAGGGGCATTGCCTGGGTGGTAGAGACTCAAAGTGTATGTTAGTCAAACCCAACCAAGAAAATGAAATTTTTTTTTCAAAATATGACGGTTTACCTGGCCTACCCATTGACGAAGACCTCTGATATGCTCTTTTACTTGGTCTGGAGTAAACAATTCAACGAGGGAGGAGATTTCCATCTTAGACGCATCCATGGATTGTTTCACATTCCCTTTCTTTGGTGCACCCATTTCATCCATACATTTGGGTTTCCCTTGTGACGTTAAACAAATAGTTTTGTCATTCATAGCAGACCCTCTACCCATGGGAATATCTTCAGCAACATGAAGGGTAACGGGAATCCTGGAAACATCAGAAAGATCTATGTCCATAGGCATAACCTCAACTTTGACACTTTGCAAACCATATCTCTCTTTCTTAGGCACGGAAGAGACAGCACCACATGCTGAAACCGGCATGCTCTCCCTCCCATCAGAAGTTGCAATCTGGGAGGATTTCTCTATTTTCAGGCGCTTAACTGAGGGTTGCAGATCATCACCAAAATTAATAGTTTCAGAGCCTCTTTTGTTGTTGTATTCTTGCACAGACTCTGAAGATTCCATTGGTCGAGCGCCTCTTTTATTTCTATTATTTTTGATGCTATCATTGACAGGTACACAGACAGGGCAAGACTTGTTCCTGCACTCCTCGTAATGAAGAAGCAATTTCCGAGTCTGCCCACAACGTGGTTCTGTACAACCAGGGATCTTGCAGCGTTTCATATGTTCCAGTAGCTTTTTGACAGGAAGACAGAACTTGCTCAGACACGTATCTCCTGTTGCTCTGCAGTCACGTGCATGCTCCAAAATTAGAAGCCACCGAATCTGATTCCTAACATCTTGACTACGATCTCCATTGATCTGTTTACTTGATGTGTTGTTTCCATCTAGAAGACGTTTCCTCTCAGCAGTGCTTCTAGGAGAAACAGTTAGAGTCGCTCTTGCAGATGTGGAGCTATGAACAGCTACTGGCTGCATCGGAGTGTTTTGACATGAGTTAACCTCACTAACAGGAGTAGGCGCTCTTGCAGATGTGGAGCTATGAACAGCTACTGGCTGCATCGGAGTGTTTTGACATGAGTTAACCCCACTAACAGGAGTTATTTGAGGCACTCTTGCAGATGAGGAGCTGCGAACAACTTCTGGCTGCATAGGAGTATTTTGACATGAGTTGGCCCCATTAAGTTCTCTCTCTCCATTATTGTTTTCTGATTCTTGAGGCGCTCTTGGAGACGAGGAGCAGCGATGCAGAGATTGTGGCTGCATAGGAGTTGTTTGACTAACAATAACCCCAAGAGGTTCTCTGTCTCCATTAATTTTCGCTGATATTTGTGTTGAGTTCTTAAGAGATGACTGCCTTTGAACCAAGACTGATGGCGACTGCTTCTGATCATGAGGATCTGATGGGAGAGATGGAGAAGAAGTCAGATGACTAGTATGAACAGCATTGTATTGGTAGTGCAACTTGGATGGTTTGAACTCATTTAGGGCCTGTTGCTGAAGATCTTCTTTGTAACAATCCAAGCTTGGTCCATGGTTGACATGAAGAGGCGAACTCGTAGCTACCTGAGTCCGATAAGCACCCTGGTATAGTAAATGATCTTGATTCTGCAGGTTACCAGGATAAAGCTGTCGAGAGTGCTGTTCTTGGTGCCTAGCATCACCAGCTTGATGGCCAAAGAATTGTTGAGCGGAAGCAGATTGAAAAGTTGTATTCCCGAGCTGATGAAATGAGTATGGAGTTTGCTGCAGGTATGGCTGATTATTTGTGAAGGTAGCGAGCATAGGATCTGGGTGGAATGGACGTGTATCCTGAGCAACAGCCATTGAGCTGGCTGACATTACACCTCCGTGGAGATTACTTGAACCAAAAGGTATAGAAAAAGTTGGTTGAGAAGAAGTAGCAAGGGTTACGGCGTTCCCGTAAATTCCAAAGGAACCAGAAGAGAAGCCAGAAGAAGTAAGTTGGGGCCTAGAAACATCAACCATCTGGTAATTTGCACCATCACTGTAGAGTGGCTCGGTTCTGTGTAACCCAGGTACGCTGCTATTGCCACAAGTAACAGGGAATCCTGCATTATTGAAATTCAACAAAAAGAAGCGGTTGATGAGACTGAGAACAGATTTGTATATTAAGAGAGGTGAGAGTAGTTGGATTTGACCTCCAGTTGTGCAATGAATGTTGTAGTTTCCTCCAGAATGGAAAGTTCCTCCAGCGAAGTTATTGTTGTTAGTAGTATGGGGAGGATTTGATGAAGATGAAACGCTCATCATGGCAGCAGAAGTAGTTGGAGGACAAACACGCCGTTGTTGTTGCTGCTGCTGCTTCTGCAAAATGATTTTCTTTAAAATCAAGTTGAGAATAAAATCAACGCGGGCTTCAAGATCTCCTAAATCTGCATAGGCCCTCTGCAAAAGCGAGAGAGAGAGAGAGAGAACAGTGTGAGGAAAATAGTATGCAATAGAGTGTATACAAGAAAACAAAATAAAGTGGAACCTCTGATGAATTGGCTCGCGACCAGAGGATTTCATCAATCTGTCCAGTGAATTTTCTTATACGTTGTTCTGCTTGTTCAAGCGAGCCCCTTGCAGTAACCTTCTTCTGTAAGATAGCATAACTGGAGGAGACAAATCAAGGCCATTATTAAGATTAAATTCAGAACTAGATATTAAATTTGATTTTTAAAGTAATGCTTACATCTTTAATCTAATAAAGTTGCGTAATCTAATAGTCTGCGAATGTGGGGTAGGAGTCTGCATCTGCTGCGGAACAACACTCATATTCTCACCTGAATGTGGCATCATTCAACTCATATGCGATATATATGTGGGTGGAGTAGTTTAATAATTGAGATGTTTTTGACCTGTGCAATCATCAACAGCTAATTATATAAATTAAGGGTTTATATTCGACTTACGACGAGTTAATCTTAGCTGAATTGTTTATTTTTATTACACGGAAGCAGGAAACTAAAACCTAAATCCCCGACACGAATCAAAACCCTAGAGACTTCTGAAACAAAACAAAAAGCGCCCTAAACCTGTGAGAAAATCAGCAATTCCCGAAAACGACGACAATCGAAGACGCAGACAAACAGACACAAGTCAAAGAGAGAGAGAGATGACGCTGACCGAAGAAACAAGCCAAGAAGGTGTTGTGGTCGGTGGCTGATATCCCCCGCACGTGCGATTGTGACAAACAATGGAACCTTCCCTTTATTTATTTTATTAATTATAGGGATGATAGATGAAACATAAATAAACCCCCACCCGGGCCACCCCAATTGTCTACGTGGCCAAATCTATTACTTTTCTTTTTTTCTTTTGCAAACAGAAAAAGATTTTCATAGGTTGACTACAAAAAGCATGTTATCTTGTAATACGCAATTACAATGTTCCACGTGGCAATTTTACTAAAAGTTAACAGACGAGATGTGGTTCTTAATCTAATAAAACGGGACGTAGTTGTATAACTCCAAACAATAAACGACACGTAGTCTGTTTTCGAGGATGTGGCCAAAGAGAGAGCACAGAGAGAGAGAGATGTCAGGCTCAATTTTGAGTTCGCCGGCGATTATGAGCAACGTTTCGGTAGCAATGAAGGTCGCCGTCATCGGAAGCGGAAGTAAGACTCTCCTCTTCCTTCTCACCAATTACTTTCCTTTTCGGTATTTCTGTTACGAAATTAAAAGTTTCCGTTTTGGGGATCAGTTTCAGGAGCAGTGTGCGCATCGACTTTAGCCAGGAACGGAGTCTCCGTAACGATCTTCGACTCAGGTCGTGGTCCAGGTGGAAGAATGTCTCAGAGAAGGGAGGTTGGGGAAGATGGGAAGGAGCTGACGTTCGACCATGGTGCTCCGTTTTTTTCTGTGACCAGCCCTGATGCAATGGCCCTTGTTCACGAGTGGGAGTCCAGAGGTTTTGTTTCTCAGTGGAAACAAGCTTTCGGGAGTTTCGATTGTGCCTCCAACAAGTTTCTTGGCGTCCAACAGGTTTTTGTACTAATCAATCTTTGAGTGTTTTTTTTTTTGATCAATAGTTTTTTTTTAAATTTAATTGTAATAGGAAGAGGATGCAAATAAGTATGTGGGTGTTCCAGGGATGAACTCTATATCAAAGGCCTTGTGCAACCAGTCCGGTAACGTTTCCTTAGTTTATTTTTGTCTGTGAGATTCAGCTCTTAAAAACATTAGTCTTTGTTATCGTCGTAGGTGTTGAATCTATGTTTGGAACTGGCATTGCTAAGCTGGAATGGTTGGAGGAAGAGAGATTACCATGGCTGTTGAAAGATTCTAAAGGAGAAAACGTGGGTCGTTTTGATGGAGTGGTTGCATCTGATAAAAACGTTGTCTCTCCAAGGTTTACTCAAGTAACCGGACTCCCACCTGCTCTAGGTAAAACTTTAACCAACTCTCTCACTCCTCCTACTCTTGTTACCGTGTCAGTATTATTATATCTCTATTTTGTTCCTTCCTTCCTTCACACAGACTTAGATCTTATCCCGGAGTTGGCCACCAAGCTGCAAGATATTCCTGTTCGACCATGCTTTTCTCTTATGCTAGCTTTTAAAGAACCATTGTCTTTGGTAACATATCTTACTTCTTATTCAGCGTGATACACCAATCTACTAGCCAGAGTATTTGCATTCATTTGGTTGATTTCTTCGTTTGCATTTTCTATGATTCTTGATTTTAGATGCCAGCAAAAGGCTTATCTTTCAAGAATTCTGAGATTTTGAGCTGGGCTCACTGTGATAGCACTAAGCCAGGGCGGTCTACTGATAGGTAACAGCTGATTTCGCTAAGCAAAACCAAAATAGTAAACGTTATATGAGCACAAAGTTTATGGGGATAGTTGGTTCAGTATTCTAAAAAAAAAATTATATATATATTTTATAGTGAAAGATGGATACTGCATTCTACTCCAGGATATGCCAACAGTGTTATTGCCAAAACCGGTCTCCAAAAGCTATCGAGCGAAACACTTAACAAAATATCTGAAGAGATGTTCAAAGAGTTTCAGTGCTCAGGGCTTGTTAATTCTCTCCCCTTTTTCATGAAAGCCCACAGATGGTACGCACCCCCTACCCTACCCTGACTCTTAATTTTGATATCTCTTGTTAGCTTATTGATCTCTTGTCTATCTGTAAGGGGAAGTGCGTTCCCAGCCAAAAGCATAGCCGTAGAGGAGAGGTGTCTCTGGGATAGAAACAGGAATCTAGCAATCTGTGGAGATTTCTGTGTCAGTCCAAACGTCGAAGGTGCCATACTCAGTGGCTTAGCTGCTGCGTCAAAGCTTTTGCAGGCTTCCAGCTGTTTATAGGTACCCCTACTCAGTGGAATCTACCTCAAAACAGAGTTAAATATGCATTTACTTTTTTATAAATATTCTCATGTAATAGTAGAATAACAGTCTTCATCCTAAACTCGATCCGGCGATGAAGCAGACATATCGGGATATCAATATCATGTGATCTTCCTAAACTTTTACTTTGTTTCTTGATGAAATGACATCAAGCGCATATATATATTATATATATATATATATAACTTTGTTTCATTTGCAGTACTTGTCAATGGAATCCGATTAGCGACATCTATCAAAGTAAACAACCTATGGTAACTTGTCATATTTATAGTTATGGAAAAACAAAAATAGTAGAGTAAAGAATCGTGCTGCCACAAATACCAAATTTCAGTTTTATACTAAAACCAAAATGAAAACCAGGGAAGAAGAATCAACTCAAATCTTGAATCGCAGACCGGAGAGCGCGGTTTGGGACAAGGTTGCGATGAGAAAGCTTGAGATTTGTCATGGGTGACGTATCGTGACCTGTACTAAACCATTTCTTAATAGCTTCTGCTTCGTATGTAAACCCATCAGCAGCAAAATGTGGATCTTTCATCACCTCCTGCAAAAGTACGAGATTGAGTGTTGCGCAAGTAATCATCTTATAAAGAAAAAAGCTTACTTGTGTGATAGGGCAGTAAAAGGAGGGTAGAGGTTGACGCTCTTCCAAATGCTTTCTTGTCAGCTCTTGTACTGTTTCGAGAGCACTGTCTCTCTCTACTCTCATCGCATCTGCTTCTTGGTTGAATGCTTCGAGTAGTCCTTTGACTATCTCAAGCTCCTCTTTTTGTCTAGAGAGAGAATCCTCTGTTTCTTTCCTAACGCTCAACTCTTGGTCGTATTTGTCCTGCCAAGTTCTGACTTGCGAAGTCAGGTTCTCTTGTTCTATCTTACAAGTTTCAAACATTTGCGCCATCGCCTCCAGCTCATTCCTTTCTTTGTGAAGTGCGATTTCTGCTTCTTTCCTGAGAATCAGCTCATCCTTGTAGTTGCTCTCGAGCTCCTCAGCTTTCAACCGCAAGTTATTGTGTTCGTTTTCGAGAGTTTCAAGTCGAAGCCTTACTTTGGAAATGTTCTCCCTTTCTATAGCGAGGGAACATTCTGTTTCTTTCCTAAGCTTTGACTCATCTTGGTACTTTTGCTCCAGACCTTGAGCATGTGAATGCAATTTGCATTTATCTTCCTTGTAAGATTCAAGTAGCCGATTCAACAAATCTAGTGCTTCTTTGTTTCTAGCAAGTGCATCTTCTGCTTTTTTCGTAAGCTTGACTTGTTCTTTGTAACTGCTCTCCAACTCTACAGCCTGTAAATCAAGCAAGCGGTGGGCATTAAAGAGAGATATAATTAATCACAGTCTCACAAAATGATTGAGATTATTTGGATGGTGTTACCCGTGAATTTTGCATAAGCTGTTTGAAGTTTTCATCACAAAATTGGAACTCTGATAATACTCCAACGGAGGACAGAAAAAAGTTCATAGCATCGGTGTTCCTCTCAGGTGGGAAGATGGGATTCGTGAGCACCTACATTTCCAACTATATCAAGTATTGTACAAACTTATATATAATATGCTTTAATTAGCATATAAAAAGAGGCATTCAGGCAAAATTAACCTGAATAATACATGTGCGAGTAGTTTGAGAGAGCATCCTATTCTTGTAGATTTCAGCCAAGAGACGCACGGTTTTGATAAATCTCCAACAGTCAGATTCATCGACGTAAGCAAGTGGTGCATGACTATCTGTTTGAAGAGATGAGTTTTCAAGCCCTATTCGGCATTTGCGTAAAAAGAGTCTTTCGAAAGTGGTAATCTGGCCGTGAGATTCAGCTGATGGAAAAGGGGGCAGGGAGTGAAAAAGATGGACGGATAGACGAGCGAATAAGACATTAGAAGTACTGTCCACCATCGCCATATCGAAAACGAAACACACTAGAGACTGCACCCATATTATCATACGTACCAAAGGTTAGATTTAAANTTGCGTAAAAAGAGTCTTTCGAAAGTGGTAATCTGGCCGTGAGATTCAGCTGATGGAAAAGGGGGCAGGGAGTGAAAAAGATGGACGGATAGACGAGCGAATAAGACATTAGAAGTACTGTCCACCATCGCCATATCGAAAACGAAACACACTAGAGACTGCACCCATATTATCATACGTACCAAAGGTTAGATTTAAAGAAAAAAAACTCAAGAAATATGTTGGCATGGAGATGTACAAAAAAAAAAAAGAAAGGCATATGCACCTTGATAACGAAAGCTGAAGGAGACGCTCTTATAATCGTCTGGATGATCTCATCCTTTATCTTGTCAAAGTTCCGTTCAGTCAACCAGTTGAGCAGACTAGACACACCAGTAGAACAGCAGACATAGTTCAATATGTTATTATATCTAGAGACTTAAACCCCAATGAGGCAGAAGAATGAAATGGAAACATGAGGAGTGTAAATGTGTAATTAATTACCTCCTTGATTTATCCAAAACTCGTTTCTCGTTGGAATTCCCTACTCCTCCATACGAAGGCTGAGAGTTCATCTTCACTATGCAATCAAATGCAGATAAGTTTTTAGAATCAATGACAAGAACTTTGAAAAAAAAAAAGAAGAAGATGATATGTGAGTAGACGTGAACTAAATTACATGGCCGGCCAAACTCCAGCAAGAATCCATGCATGAAAGATGCTTAACAAAGTTCTTCTTCTTCTTCTTAAACTCTTGTTGACTTCACACTCTCCTTTGAACTTCCCGACGTCTTCTTGAGAAGGTACAACAAAAATAAAGAGCAACGTCGTTTGAACTTCATCATCATCGCAGTCTGCACCGCACCTACGAAAGTATGACGTGTCTATTTTCCTCATTAAACCTCGGCCCATGATAAGAGAGGTTAAGCCCATTAATATTGGGTTCTTAATTAGGATGTGTTTTGCTACTTTCTTATGAAAGATTAATGCATTCCTACTATACCCGTCTCATGAGAAAAATAGCATACTTGTTACTGTGTAGATGAAGAGAAGCAAATGGGGGTTTGAATCGAAGAAATTGCAGAGCTAGTCAAGGAGAAGACACTTTTACTATCCCAACTTGGGGACTTTTGCTGATAGTATTCCTCCTGGCGTTATCAGATCGTTGGTAACGTTAAAAGGACAAACCTAGTAGAACACTGTTGGGAATTGGGATGTTGAAGGATTAGTGCCCCTCGTCTTATATGAAAAGAAATAACAGTTTCTTTTGCCAGAGAGACAAGTCATCATCTTTTCCTTTTTTTATCAATTTTAATTTTCTAACTAGATTTTGATTCGCACAACCGTATGAGTGACTATTTTCATTTTATACAAATACTAGGGTAAACCCATCCTACAATTTTAAGTTTGCTATTATTGACTTGAAATCCCATATGGGACGTATTAAAAAGAGCTGTAATTTATTTTTGACATGAAAACTATACATATATGAACACAAACATATAAAAATGTGGGTAGTCAAGCATGTGTGACATTTATTCTATTGTTATTGCGATAGCATATAATCATAACAGATTTAGTGTCCATGCTCTGACATCTTGGACATATCAGAGTCTTGGTTTCGTCAGACTGCATGCATGTCCTCTGCTGATTGTTCTTGTCCTCTTTCTATCTCTCTGATCCGTTGATGTTGCTTCCTCTTTGTCCCATGTGTCTGGTTTTGAATCATGTGAAGCGTGTAGAGTTTCTTGTTGTTACAGTTTTTCTTCTTATTATCTGTTAACTGAAACTACTTACTCTTCATCTTTTTCTCTGATAACTATGTAACAACTTGCTCTGTAGTTACCTGAGTGAAGGTAATAACAAACATCTTAGTTTAAGAACACTTGCAATGAGTCTAACGATTTTTACAACTAATTAAAGAAAATGTGGTTGATAAACTATGCTCAGCACAAAGCACGAAGATAGAAAAAAAGTTTTGTAGACTACATCTTATAACAGAATAAAGAAGATCCAATACACCAACAAATACATAAAACAAAAGAAAAAGTGATCAGAATTCAAATCTAACACTGACAAAGAGAGTATATTATTCCAAAATGAAAGAGTACATAGAAGCAAACAATATCATTGACAACATAATCATATAATTTGAAGCAACTAGATTATGCCACAATGACAAAAGATTGTAATCAAAAGTTAAGATAAGATTGTAGCAGATCAAATGTTAAGATAGTTAACAAAAGCTTGGAAGAGGACAACATCAAGCACAAACAATGTCTTGGACATTGCACTTAGTTCCTCAGAACATTCCTCGAAAGAGAATAAATGGATATACGGGAGTTGTTTGGGGATCATCATTGAATATTGTCTTGATGAGGCTGATGTCTGAGAAGAGAAAGTTAGACATTTCTTAATTTTATTGCAGAACACTGGTGATGATGAAAGAATGAAAGATTTCAGACTCACTGGAAACCGAGTATTGTCTCTACCATTGACATCAGTTGTCCTAAGTTTTGGAACCTAAAGAGATCTGTGAAAATTGTGTAGGTGCAATGGAAACTTCAAAAGGACTTTGTAAGATTGGTGAAGTCAATAGTGATAGATGGACGAATTTGAGTGCTTGAAGTGAGTTTTGATTCTCGTAACATCAAATCCACTGAGCTCGTAAGAGCATCTACATTGAGGATTTATGAGGGGTTTATAAGGGGGGTCACACAGTTTTCTAGATGAACAGTAATGAACTTCTCTCTCCAAACGTTCATCCCGGTGAACCCCAAAAGGGTGGAGTTCACCACGTGTCAGAAGAAGATTGGTTCAATTAATTATTTAAAAAAAAAATAATCAGTCTAACAAAAAGAAAAATAATAATAAAATATTATAAAGATGAACCCCAAGAGGGGTTCATTGATATACATGCTCTAAGTAGCTCCTTCTTTTAGAAGATCTCTGAAAGTGCTAAGCCAATGAAAATAAATAAATACATTGAGGAGTAATGACTGTTAAACAAAAAGATCATGAAATGAAAAGGTTGACAAAATATCATAGAAGTAACATGATAAAATAAGATTCTATCATCGAGGGGAGATGAAGAGCTCGACCTGTTCATCAAGTAGAGGTATGCAGACGCAACTGAGCTCTCCTTTCTTGACTTGGTGTCCTTCCAGAAACTACAGCTGGACTTCAAATCAGAAACATGATATGGTAACAAAGAAATATAATTAAATCTCGTGAAGCAATGATAACTGGAGAGATCTTTATCCTTATTTATAGTATCAGGAATTAGGGATTTATGATAGAGGTTGTGAAACGTTATGAATTGGCTTCAATGAGGAACAAAAGTGTTATACATGGTTTATGAGATCAGAGATGGGATGGAATTTGATAATACGAAGAACCCTAACGATCTAGAGTCTTCACTCTTGAAGAAGGCTTATTTAACAACATAGACCCAGTGGCGAGTTTTGGCCAGAAAGTTGGCACACGGTTAGCACCAATGTTGGCTTGCATAATCTTCGACTGCAACGGAGACAAAAAAACGACGAACATTGAGAAAACACTCGTCGGAATTATCTAGATCAACGATTTCTTGAAATCTAAAGAGCGGTTTGTGAATGATTATCAGAGGAAAGAAGCCAACCTATATATACACGTGCTTCCACCGACTCGCAGGAGATGAGAAGATAGTGATTAGAGATCGTGGCAGAGGAGTTAATTGCGATTATCAATGTGTCTAAGAAGACTTGTGGTGGAGAATCATCTCTACGGAACTGGATCATCACACGGCCAGCAATCACAGAAGACTCGTATTACATAATGAACCCTAATCAGAGACGACTTATTGCTTCCGATGGGCCAGAGACCCAAAATAACGGTGGGCCAGAAAAGAAAATAAACCCATAACATGTGCAACGAAATTGAATGCAGCGTTCTGTCTGGTACTCATTGCATGCTAGGAAGAAACTAATTAGTGACGTGGACGAACAATAGGGATGAAAAGTTTATTTTATATATATAGATATAGATAGTAAATTAGATTTACATGATTAGAGGTACATAATTTATTTACCATATTACTAACAGTTTAATATAATATTTTCAAACACAATAATTTCCTAATATGCATGTAGTAATTTAAATTATTATTTCAAATTATTAGTGATACATTTCTTATTAAAACATGAACACTAACAAAAACCTTATATTGTTTGATATCTACAATAATTTCTTTCAATTTAGTATTAACTTAGATATTAATTTTCCTAAGATTGTACTTGTATTTTTGGTTTGTCATACATATACGTTAACTGAATTATTTGTATGAATTAAATATTTGACTGAATAACCTAAATTAAGTGTAATTTATAAAACGCTTGCTTCATTTAAATTATTAAACCCGAAATTATAATGTATTGTGATTGTTTTGTCCTTTTAAACCTAAATTTTCTATTTATCATCTATGTTTTTTGAGGTTTCTTATATTGTCTATTGCTGATTTAGATTTTAATATCCCGAAAATTTTGGATTATTTACAATGATTTATTCAATGTTAAAAAATTTATTTGCAATTCTTCATTTATCAATACATCAGGTTATATAATTAACACTTAAACCTACAACTACATTTGATAACAAACACATTGTAAATAAAAATATTCACATGAATGATATTTTTCAGTCGTTCATCTATCATTTTTGTTAATGACATTATTTACTATAATACCTATTGCACTTTCAAAATTGCACACGATAAAAGAAATAAAAACAATTACATTAATTAATAATATATGAATATGGTCTATATAAAAATGATTTTCATTATCTTTTTGTAAAATAAAGCAGTCATATATTTCTATTGTAATAATGTAAAGTGAAACGAATACATATGTAATACATAAGATAATAAAACAGCTAAAAACATAATCAAGATGAAGAGAAACACAACACTAGATCAAATAAAATGAATTAACTTGTAAATATGTTTTTCCTTCCAAGGTCTTCTTTGTTAATAGAGTACCAACTCTATCAATTATTTTGCAAACTTTAAATTTTTGGCCCATCATAAACACCATTTTCTTTTGTTGTATTATGTTGATCTTATCCCAATTAGAACTATAGATACTTTTCGGTTTGAATCCATATACTAATTCAACCGCGAATAATAACTAAGATAACTAATTTTCAACGACCGTAAGAATATCACCACCTAACAAAAATATTTTATCTTTTATTTTCGAAGATCGTTTTTTTCCATGCCGTTTTTCATGATTTCAACGATACTGCAAATTTATCCATATATTGTATCAAAATAGGAAAGTTCTTCATTCGTTTTTTTTCTTCTAAAGTTGACCTTCTCATTATCATTTTCTTTCATTATAACTAGGTGTCTTTCCATGCTATTTGGAAAGATAAAGTATTTAAAAGTGAACATATTTTATTCAGAATTATATTTTGATTCATAATGTATCTAATATTAGTATTCAACCTTTTCAATTTCATAAAGGAAAAAATTATAAAAAAATGTAATTTAGTTTCTCTTGTTTCGTTAATATATATTTTTATTTATATTATACCTAAATTGATTCTACTTTTACTTAAAGTTATTAAAAGAAATTAATAAAAAGTAGATGTATTTTTATTTTATATATTATACCTAGATTTATAGAAATTTTGGTTTATTCCTTTTTATTTGTATTGATTTATTGTTATTTCA